AAACTCTGGTTCGACATGCTACGAGTCCACGAGAGGATGGACTGGAGTAGACTGGGTCGAACTCGCCCTCCCTTCGGGGCTCCCTTCGGGACGGGGACGACCCGAGCGGAGGGAGACGAACCTATGGAGTTTGTTCTTCGAGGGGGTCGCACTGGGGGTGGTGTCTCTGGGCGGACATGACGTGCGATATGTGGTTAGCTGGAAAGTCTAAAACCAATACGGACTGGGTCATCACTGTCACTCCGCTAGGGAACCCCTGAACAGGACGTTGTGGCTTCACTGGCTTGAGACATTCTGATTCCAGGTATCCGGAGGACCTTGAATTTTGGAAGTTTTGGGATATTGTGGCTTTTGAGGTGGCCTGATGCTCTTTTGAAGGGCCTTTCGACGTCAATGTTTAAGGCTAGGCTGTTGAGACCGTGAGGAGAGCGGGATGCCTTTGAGGATGGGATTTGTTTCGTTCTCTAATTTGCGGCAGGGTGACATGAGGCTTGGCGTGAACTCTGGAGCTACAACTTTGTGTAACCGGGGATCAAATCCCAGGAATATGATTCGATGGCCCGATGGGTTGAGATTGGCAAGGCGAGCATCGCTGCATCAGATCATACTTTGGGGGAGCTCATCCCGTCGGCAGCGTGGCTTGACCACCAGTAAACTTCGCTCTCGCGTCTGCTGGCGGGAAGGAAACGCCTCATCGCCGCCATGAATAAGCGGCCAATTCCGCAGATTCGATAAATGAGGCGGTGAAGGATGCGGCTGGCAAGCTACAAGAGACATAAAGGCCCAAGACATGCTCCAAGTCGAGCGACAGACGAATGAAAAAACGGCTGGGCGGGACGGTGAACCGCTTGAATGGGAAATCATTGGTGAGACATGCGCAAGTAGCGGAAGCTGACGTGAATATCTGCACAACTACTTGTCCACTATGAGTCTCTGAAGCGTGTGTAGTAGTGTAGGTATGTGGTGTGAGTAGGTCTGCAATGCAGTGCGGCATGCGGTCGTAGTACCGTACCGACTGTACCGCACCCGCGCAACCGCAGACGAGACCAGACTTGCAGTGGAGGTTTTCAGTCTCCCTGGGTTTGATGGGTCCGAGACACGGCCGGCCTGCTTGTAAACCAAGACATCGGGGGCCCGGTGCAGAAGTGAACGTCAAACGTCAGTGGCAGCATCGTCGGCGGCCTCTGGATGTTGGGTTTTCTGATAACTGACCATGCAGGGTTGGAGGAAATATGTGTGATGGCGTGGTGTTGTTGCTGCTCGCCGGTTCCAATAGAATGCAGGCAAAGTGAGGTGATGCATCTAGAGACCGGCTGGTCGAGAAGACGAAGCGAGGAGAGAAGATGTTGTCCGGTCTGTAGACTCGATACTACCTTGGACCATAGGTCGGACGAAACCGTCAGAGAAGAAGAGCCGCTTACCGAATTTCGACTTGCCCCAGCACCTCAATGGCACCCTTCAGACCTCAACTTGCCGAGCGAGCACCGAAAAGGGAGACCAACTACCATGCAGATCTTGAAATGGGGAAAAGCCAGGCGGATGGAAATGTGAGAAAGAGAATTCCTCCGAGTCCGTGCCCTAGAGCCAAAGTCAACTACCGGCACGTCCATGTCAGCTTACCTTTCTACATTCCCACCTCGCAACACATTCTTCCGTCCTCTTCGTTGTGGTGTCATTGATATCCAGCCTGAATATCACTACGACCCTTTTCTTGAGTCTCACGGCGTCATCTTCAACAGACGATGCCTTCTCTGGGCATTCCTCCGCGAGACTGGAACAAGGTCCAGGCTCTAGCATAACGGCAAAACGCCCGTCAGCAATCATCACCATGTCCGACATTCCGGTTAGACGTGCCGTGTGTCGACCACATCAACCACAGTCGGGCGAAAGAGCAAGCGAGCAACCAAAAGCCGCGCAAGTGTCGACTTGGGTTCCCAGTCCAGCTGAATTGAAGACATCAGACATCCCGCGACGCATCTTCAAGCCCAGTCGTCCGATTTTCCGGTTCCTTACTCTTGTCTTCAGTCCGACGAGGCGGACTCCCTGTCAATGCTTCCCGTCTAACCGAACAGCAAGACTCCAACGATGGTGTGTGGTGTGTGGTCCTTCCCGCATCTTAACTTGAGACAGGTTGGGGGGCAGTAAGAGACAAGAAAAAACAACCAATGGATGCACAGGGCGTCCGGGATGAGATTGGAGAATCGATAGGTGGGCTCACTTCACCGAGTGTCGCCGGCCAGCTCGGTGTGGCTGGACCATCTTTTCTTCTTTGTCGATTCTCTCTTTCGGGGCGTGAAGCAGACGCTTGGTGGACGGGAGGATGGTCCTCGCCTCGGTCCTTGACGAATCGCAGCTTCGTCGCAAAATACCGTCCCCCCCAAAAAGACCATACCAATAAGGGGAAAATGAAAAAGCAAAGGGACCAAAGCTGGATTTTAAAGGACAAAGCCAAGACAGGATCGGGCCGCAGGTGGGCAGCGAGCCGCCGCCGCCGTCGCCGCCGTCCCCTGCTGGGTGCGCTCTTTTAATCAACTGCTTGCTTGCTTGCTTGTTTGTGGTGGTTCCGTGTGTGTGCGGCGCATACATTACCAGATCTCGGGGTAGAGAGCCCGCTCCAGCCGGCCGGACCTTTTGGCGCAACTGGGAATGGCGTCGAACCGTTTGGCGTTGGCGCCGGTGCGGGTTCGTTTTTTCTTCTCTCCCGTCTGGTGTCTCTTGATGGGATAAAAGGGGGCACTTGGGGGCGGCTCGGACTGCAGAACGGCCCCCTCCCCCCCATAGGTTTGGCGATGCTGATACGATCCGATGTTAGTGTCATCGACGGCCGTTGGCATTATTGCCCGACTAGTGTAATGTGAGTACAAAGTCTCTTAGTCTAGTGTGTGTGTGTGTTACTATGTATACCTATCCGTAATAAAAAGAGCTGAGACGAAGAGAGGGAAACAGAGAATGCGAAACTGAGAGACTGAAAGTTGGTGTGTGTGCTCGCCGAGCCTGTCTGCTCACACCCCCCGGCCGCCGACCGTCCACACATGAATCGTCCAGTCCAGGTCCATTCTTGGTTCCCGATGGTCCCTGTCTAGAAGCTGAGGCCAAGTTTGGATTTTCTGTCGCTACGCGCGCTTGCCGCACCCAAAATTCGATTCACGCTTTAACCTCCATTTAATATTACCCATCCAAACCAAAACGGGCAGCCCTAACAGTAGGTAATCTTGTCTTGTTTCCTAAAGTTTCCCGCCGTCTCTTTCTCTCTTGATTGAGTCTTGCGCCCCTCTCACCCCCAGTTCCCAGTTCCCTTGCGACACCAACGCCGCGGCAGACATCGGTGCCTGCATCTATACAGTCGTACATGACGCCATGCACATCGTGCATCCACTGATCTCCTCTAGTTCCCAGTTCGGGATTGGTAGCAGCAGGACCGTGGGACGGGGCACGGAGACGGGAATACCAGATATCACCTTGGTCCCCAGAAGGCCACACGGCCAAATCTCCCGTTCTGGTTTTACCTTTTTCTCAACAGGCTCGACAGGCCCCTGCAAAGCGGCAAGCCTGGCGGGGTGGGAAGAAGAATAGTTGAAGGGTTCAAATGTTCTGTTGTCGTGGCACTCCGAGAGCCGTGATTTGCTGGCAAAGTCACCACCACTCGCAGCCAGAGTCAAGCCAATTTGCGAGACATGGCACTGCATACATAGCACCAGATCATATGCCCCGTCCTTTCCCCCCCTGGTTCCGGTTCTGCTTTGGTTTGGTTAGGTCGAATTCGCGTCCCGTCTGGTCTGGCCGGCCATAGTATGGAGCATGGAACCGTTTGGCATGGGGGCCCGTATGGGCAAAATAACGAAAAAGTATGGCACGGCATCGCATGGCATGGTTCGGCGGCGGCCACCACATACTTTATGATCCAAGGAACGGCTAGGCCTGGAAGTATCGCCTCGAAAATATGACAGAAGTTGGTGAATGGTCACGAGCCGGCCCCTGGATCCCTTCCTCATCGCTCAAACGGGCATCTTGCAGCGGAACAGCCCTGGATGTCGAATACACACCCTAATGCTTCTAGCCTCTGACCCCGCAAGTCGCCGCTGGCGGCATTCTGCTCTCTTCGTCTCTGAGGTCATGGACTGCTCTCACCCACACCACCCTCTCGACAAGTGTCGACATGGAGTGTGAGAGGAGTGGGAGGGTCCTCCGTCTCCGTCTCCCGGCAATGCACATGCTACAACCATGGGATTGCTGGAGCTATGTGATTCTATCCCCCGGCCGGGCCCCTCCCCTCCATCTCATCACCTCCCCTCAGCCAGCCATATCCATAATCCATACCATACGCATCCATGGTCCAGCACCTGGGCCCTTGTTGGTCTTGACATACTTCCCAGCAAAGCAGATCCCAACAAGCTAAAGTAGAGTTGGACCGACAGGACCGGCCGGCCGGCAGAAGGGCCGCATCTCTTACTTCCTACTCCCCCGTCCCACTCTTCTCCATCCGTACCTATCTCTGAGCTCTCTCTTGCTCTCTTCTGTGCGTCTCGTGTTTCTCTCTCACTCTCTCGCTTGCCCCCTTCTAGTCCCCTTCTTTTGCTGCTTTTGCTGCCCGGTGGTACGACGGATCGACTGGCAACTCGTCCACGTACGCCTCTACGGATACATCCATCCATCCACCTTGGCCTTCGCCTTGCCGTCAATAACCTGACCTGCAGGCCCGGCCACCGCACCCGCATCCCCCGTCCCATTCATTCCCCCTTCTCTCCTCGGACACGACCGACCTCCAATCAACCTACCCACCACCCCCTTGAAGACTCACTTTGTTGCTAATGCATCCGTGAGCTGACACATCCGGGGAAGGGCTTCCGGCAACAGAACCCAGAACCCAGAAATACCCCCCCCTTCCGAGGCCGTAGAGAGCCTCAATGAACCTTTTTCTTAAACCATCGACCCAAACGGCGTCGTCTCCCCGTCGTTCACGGTCCCCGTCCGTCCGTACGCCGTCCGCTATCATCCCGGCAATGGCTTTCGCATCGTCGCCCGTTGACTCGCCGTCGTCATCCTTCTTCGCCGCCGCCGCTGCCGCCCCGGACCTCGACGGCCTCGCCCAGGCGCCAGCGTCCGTCGCTCGCGCCATCCTCGTGGCTCTCTGCGATGACCGACGGGTTCGAGCCCAGGCGTTGAGGCAGCTTGAGCGGCTGCTGCGCTTTGAGGCCGATGTCCGCGAGGAAGAGGAGGAGGATGGTGTCAAGAGGAGCCCCAATTCCGTCTCAAGTCCATCAAATCCAAAAAAGAGAAAGGCAACCGGCGAGCCCAAGATCTGTGTTCAGTGCGACGGCATCTTCACGGCCGACGAGAACAGCTTTGGTTCATGTTGGTACCACTCAGGTAAGCAAGCAAGCAAGCATAGCGTGGAAACCCAGCGACAGCAGCGGGAGCAGAAGCAACGAGAGACTGGTAGAGCCTCTTCATCTCCTTCCAACTCTATTGTTGCCTCATTTCCATGCCGTGCATCTTCTTTTCCCAGCAGAAGTACTACGCTGTACAAGCTGTCAGAAGGGTATCTTATTCTCGTGGTTGAAGGGTCATACTGACTCGTGCACCCACCCCTCTGTTTAGGCGAGCTGGAGCTTTGGGATGAGACGCAAATACCACCAACAATCTGGGACGACGTATCGTCAGACGAGCTGGACACAGATTCCAATCGCCTAGAGTATCCCGCAGCGTTCCGATGGTGCTGCTGCCAGAGGCTAGGCGACAGGCAAGGCTGCGTGCGCGGCACACACGAAGCCAACCCGGATAGGAGCAAAAAGGGCCGCGGCAACGAGCTGTCCGATCTCGAAGACGATCCGCTGGAGCTTGACGACGCCTCATCGCAGGAGTTGGGACCGCCGCCGCATCAGCAGCACTACACGATCTCGAGCTCACCGACGGACGCTGGCCACAAGGCGACGACGGCAACGATGACTGTGAGAACGGCAACCTCGCTGACGACAACGCACCATCACCACCAACAGCAATGACGTTCGAAAAAGGTTTACTTGGATTGTTTATTATTTTAAGGACGTGTTTATGGTCCATGTCAGAAACGAACTCGCTTCCTGGGTTCCCCTCCTTTCGGCCTTCCGGGCGAGACTGGTTTTGGTAGACCGGTCAAGGAAATGATTACGGTTTCGGTCAATCGGATGGGCTCCCGGCCTCCCGACCGATGGTGGTCGGTCAACCGGTCGACAAGGCCACGCGAGATTGAAATGGATTTTTTTAAGGTGCTGGCAGGGCTGTGAACAGACGCGAAGGGAGTCAAAGCGGCAATCAGGTCCAAGTTCAAAAAAACCGGAGCAGAGCGGAGCGAAGCAAAGCAAAGCATTTTCCAGGGAGAAGGGGGAGGCATAGCATTTGGCAAGTTTGATACAACAAGACATTTGATGGATGAAGCGAGCAAGCAACATTGAAATTGGTCGGACAAGAAATTGGAGGGGGCGACACTACTGTACTTTGGGGGCAGCTTTTACGCCCAACCGACCACTTTGTGCCTGACTTATTGGCCAGGCTGGCATCTCATTGCCTCGCATGAGGGGATCCTCGTACATCAAAGACATCACGAAATAATGGAGGCAGAACGTAAGAGCATATCATTTGTATTTCAGTGGTGGAAGAATCAATGAATCGAGGGCCACTAGGGGAAGAAAGGCGGCAGCAAAAAGAACGGGGTGAAGATAGCCCACTGCACGCAGAGAACGTCGATTTAGACAGACGAACGGGGCGAGCCCAAGTTTGCCAGCGATGCAATTTACCTTACTTCTCGTTTTCACGAGCCAAATTACAAAATCATCCGTGACATGTACTGATCATTGATGAGGTGAGGAAAACAGCGCGCAGCCCAATGAAGGCAGCATTCCCAGGATCGAGATGGCTCGCATTTTCGCCTCATAGGACTGGCGGTGGCGGAATTCGCATGGTTCGCCGACGACGACAACGATGGGGTGGTGAGACGAACCGGAAGCGTCCTGCCCAGAGCGGTCCGATATCATCTGCAGCAAGCGCTCAAATCTGCAAGGGACACCAGAAGCGGCCTAGCAATCCCGCTCCAGGGAATATAAAGCTTGCCAGCCAGCAACGCAAGTACGGAGTACACACGCCAGACCGAATGAACCAGTAGGCTCGCTCCCGGTGGTCGCACAGGAATTATGTCCCCCCAAACCCGGACCAAACTCCAGAGAGGGTCGAGAGAGTGTGTGTGGCTCTTGGGGAACACAAGACGCACCACCTACAGGCTACTTGCCTTTCGTCAGCTAGCCAGCCGCTGGACCGTCTCTGGGGCCATGGGTAAATGCCCTGTACTCTGGACTCTAGAGACTGAAGAGCCGTAAGCTTGCGGTGCCACAGCAGGGCTTTGTGTGCGAGGAATCCAATGAGGCCACCTGGCGAGCAGGGATGACCCTTACCATCCGAGATTCCCCGGCAAACCCTGATCTACGGGAGGCCGGGGAGGGGGGCACGGGGGGAAGACGGGTACGGGTAAAAGAAACGGGTGTCTGTGGCAGTTGAGTGAAACCCCCCGGCCGTTCAATTCTGATAGACAAGAATGAACATGATTCCTGAAAGGAGAGAAGTGACCCTGGTGAACCCTTTCGGAAACTGGTTTGCATCCCCGTCATTCCGGGTTGGGGTGAGTAGTTGTGGGACTCCACGGAGTACACTAAGTGGGCGCGGTCTAGATGGCACTTCTAGAGTGTACGCAGTTAGTTGCTAACGTAGAAGCCCCTCGAATGTCCACGAAAGGTAAAGCTTGCGGACCATCTATAACGTCGAGCAAGTTGCTTGGAATTTGATTAAGGTACTCACATTTCAGATCTCACATTTCCTCCGCGCTTACTCGGATAAGCTCGACTACCAATTCCAACTACTTTACTCTACTTATCTACTGGGCCCAAGAGATTGGTGTACGAAGTAAAGTACCAAGCTAAACACCAATTTACCCCCGTTAAAGTCCGACATCGCAAGACACTTCTTTCCCGGCCCGAAGAAAACACCAAATTATCGGCGCGACACGCCAACGACAACCAAGAAATCAATGGTTGATCAAGTAAGACAGCGAGCCGAACAGACCGCCGCCCCAAATCGGGAAACGGCGGCCATGTTGGAAGCCGTTTCGGGCACCGATGCCCGAAAAGTCTTGTTCGCACTCTGCAGGGAGGATGAGCGGGTCCGCCGGCGAGCCGTTGACCTGTTGCAGAAGATGCCAAGGACGGATGTCTGCGCCAACTGTAAGGAGAAGTTTGATGTCAACAGGAACGCTCCTGATGCATGTCGTTACCACCCTGGTCAGTATGATGGAATTCCACAGTCAATACCGTATTCGGAATGAGCGGGGAATGTAAAGCTTCGTGTGACTGCACGTGCTTGGCGAGTAAAGAGAGGACATTACGCTGACCTGCGATAGGAGACTTTGAGTTAGACGAAGACCTAGAGGTCTGGGGCACGATCGACGACATTGGACAGTTCTACGAAATGGACAGCGAAGAATCTCGAGCCGATGTTCCAGAAGGCTTCAGATGGAGCTGTTGCCAACGCGTCGGCGACGTGGAAGGTTGTCAAGAGGAGCAACACGTGGCCGTATTGGAATACCCCCCTTTGACATTAGAAAGTTTCGGTGAGGGTCACCATGCGGTGGAGATTCCAGGGCAGCAAAGTCACGGCAAGCGCAAGGCTGAGGAGGTTATTGTCGGCATGGCGCAAAAGACAAGGACGGGTTCTTAATTTTCGACGGATATGACCCGGTGACCCTTGTTCGCGTGCGTAGAGAATTTGAAATGCGGCTGGCTTGTCACTTGGACAGTATGCGACACATCATCTCGTTCAATATCGCCGAACATGGCAATTGCCAAGCTCTCAGCCCTTGAAGGATGCCATTCCCGCATTTCCGACCAAACAGCTGACAGCTCTTTACTACGTGGACCACCCGGGGAACTTATCACACGCAAATCCATGTGGGGATATGCCCGAGTAAAGCAGCGATGCCCTGCGCTGAGAGGCTCACATGTGAGTTGAGGGCTGTCAGAAGTCTCATAGACTGGCTGACTCGCTGGCCTGTTGGAAAGATCGCCGGCTGACAGGACTTTCGGTGTGATTCCGACATGTACTTGTACACCTGAGAAGGGAGATGGGAAGATAAGACAGCGGAAACGAGGGGCCGGATTATAAGGCCCAAGATGACTCGAGAGCCTTAGAAAGCACCGACAAAAGTTTAAAGAGTCAAGTCTGGTCACATAAATAAGACTTGACAGAGTCTTGAGGGCACTTGGTTGAACTGGGTACCGCGAATCATTCCCTAAAATATGGATTCGGGTGGGCCTATTGCGGGCGCCTTCAAGATAGAAGTGCCCGCTGCAGAACCCACCGCAGAAAGTGAGACGGGCCAGGCCGTTCGGACTACCCCCGCAGCATTTGCAAAGTCTTACAACGCCGTGAAGCTTGATACCGGCTGATTCCCCGAGTCCAAGAAGAATTCTAGACCTTGAGGTTCAAGATAGTTCAACAGAATCGTCTCAACAGTAGAGCATTTGCACGGCGAATTAGGACCTCAGATCGATCGCCGCCCACATGTCCTCGTAATTAGGCGATTGTGGAGACCATTTGATGGGTAAGAGTTCTCATTCATCCCTTCAGAGAGAGGATCTGGGACCTTCCGGATTGTTCCCGAGTTTAAAAAGCCCATCTATTCGAGATGAAAAATACATGTACAGAGATTCATTTTGTGCGCTTTTCTGGGGGTTTCGTTTGTTATTACTGGTTCTTCTCAAAACCTTTAAAAAGTATATGTGTAGCTCAAGCTATCGGACCCATTGCTGAGCTCTTAGAACGCAGAAGGACGAAGTCCAAAAGCCAAGACCCAACTCTAGACTCTTGTTGTCGTTGTTCAAGACCGGATTTCTTCAGCTGTGCTCACCACCGTCTTTTCACGGATGAATTTTCAAAAACTTTTCAGACTTGGCTTTGTGGATCAACTCTTCAAAGGCAGAGTTGAAAGAGTTCATACCACGGCCCCTGCCACGAGGGAACTGTAGATTGACTTTGAGATGTCCTTCATGTCTAGCAGTCGGTAGAAATGTCTCGCGGTTGCTTTCAGTTGGAGCAATCTCCCACTAGTCTATAGATCCATGGAATCGCATTTGAGACACTGATCCTCGTTCGAACCTTTTTTTTATGTGTCTCATCGAGTCATCTCACAGTCAATCGACCCTAGGCCTGCCACATTTGATTTTGGAATTGTCAACACGGCTCTGTTAGCGGACAAATACAATGATCATGCAGCCTAGACCAGGGTCCTCTTGGATATCAGCTGCTATGTCTCTGAAGTAGGTTTGTCTCTATGAGACTTTACGATAGAGAACTGATGGTCTTAGCATGCCTGATTATCTCGCAGAATCGAGAGAAGCCGAACGGTCATCTGATCACTCCCAGAGTCGGTCCAACAAGCGAGAACGTCCCGAATCTTCTCCTGGTTCTCCCCAGCAGCCAACCCCCAAGGTGATGGGTCTTCGTTCACTCAAACACGGCTGTATCAGACTTGAACTGACAGCGAACACAGAGACTCAGAACTGAAGAGCCTAGGAAAGAGGAGTCTCCGTTGTTGTGAGCCCAGATTTCATCCAAACATCTGTGAACTCGAGAATCACGCTAACATCGTTGTAAACAAAAGCCGGCTTCCGCCCGAATTACGGAACGAGATATACCGGATCGCTTTCATCCGTTCGACCGTCACGATCACCGCTAAGGTGGTGTATGGCTATACCTGTGGCCGTTCTAGATTCCGCTGGAGGCGCAAGAATGTGCGACATCACGATTCATGGAGAACAACCGAGTACTTGCCAGTTGCCTTTCTCAGAGCCTGCAAGCAAGTTCATGCCGAAGCGCGGGCGATTCTGTACACCAACTACTTCGATGTGCAAGATATGGAGACACTCGTCGTTTGGTTGAAAGACTTGGGGACCAATACTGCCTGCCTACGAACCATTGTACTCCAGACCGAGCCTCAGGGATGGTTGCCGTCATCAACTCCAAGCAGATACCGGACTCAGCAGACCCGTTATCGAGAACTGTGTCGTAGGGCTGCGAGGATGTTAGCTACTGCCGAAAATCTCCAGACTCTGCGGATGCAGTATTTTTACAATCTTACATGTATGATTGCTGGCCCGGCTCCGAGGGGAACTTTCAAGCGACCTGGACCTGTTTCTGGCTGGATCGGCATCGCGCGTCGGGTTGCGGAGGTATTGTACCATGATTTTCGGTCGGTGTACTCCAAAGGTCTGTCCCGTGGCCACAGTCCGGAAAGGCTGTGTCATATTTTACAAGTTAGTCGGAATAACTGGTGGTGTTATCGGCACGCATCGAGTCCGCAGAAACTTAATGCCAAAGAGGCAAGAGAGGCTGAAGAGGAGGTTATAGAACATCTAAGGCTGCTGCTGAGGAGAAACCTCGAAACTCGCCTGGGATATCGAGCTTGAAGAAGATTCATAATTACCAAGCAGCAAGTCGCCGCACTTGAAATCCGACCTAGGCTGGCCTCAAGGAAGCCAATGGCATGTAGGAAGCAGAGGTGGTGCTACAATTGAAAGATAAGACTAGGTGACTAGAGTCATGATGGCTTTATCTGTTCCGAAGTTGTCTTGAATGATGCCGAGTATTTCATTACGGTCTGCAGCTTGAAATGATACAGTCTCACTCACTTCTTTTCCATTTAAAACAACGTCATCGATGAAGCCGTTTCGGCGTCTCTCCTTTCACAATCAAATCTTTGTCTTGCAGCTCGAACGCGCGCCCAGGTGAAGCACGATGCAAGGTCGCCATAAGGAAGAAAAAGCAGCAAGGAGAACTTTCTTCAGTCTCAAGTACCTTTCAGGCAGCAAATTAATAGAGATGGACTTTTCATTTATATCAAAGCGGCAATTCATTACTACTCAGCAGAAATTTGCCATCTACGGCCTTCAGTTCGACGCAGCCTTACAAGCATCAAGCCGTCCAAGTTAGTAACTGGTTACCAATGATTTCACGTTGAATATCAGCTGACTTTCCAAACCAACATCCAGAGACAAGGACTGCATTTCATCTCCTCAACTCTCGCCGATATGGCCTCGTTGCCGGTCGTCTCAATCTCGACCGGTGGGATCCAACGACGGGACAGCCAGGATTCAAACACCTTGCCGGACAGGGTCTGTCTGAGTTCTTTCCTGCGTATGAAATTAAACGATTGCCGATCTTGACTGACATGCCAGATAGAATGCGCATGATAACGGTTCTGGGCCGAGACGCTTTTCCTTTCTGTGAGTTCTGCAGCTCGGGCTTTTGTGTAATTGGTTGCCAATATCGCTAATACTGAAGCACAACAGATACCTGCCTGGGGAGATTCGAAACAGCATCTACACACTTGTTCTATCCCCCCCAGATCCGATTTATATCATTGACAGTCTTGTTCTACCGATATACCCTCGAAACGATTTCCGTTTCGAAGGAAAGGTCTCGGACAATGCTATCTTAGGTGCCGTTTTAGCTTATCGATGCTTCGTACTTGCAAAAAAGTGTTGTCTGAAGCACATGGCATCGCCTACTACCAAACATTCGAATTTTGGGATGAAGACGCGCTTTTCGTCTGGCTACGCGACATTGGCCCGTACAACAGATCGCATCTCTGCGGGATTATCTTATATGAACTGCGCACTTGTCCAGACACGGTTACCCACAATATGGTAATGAGTCGCATCGCTGCAATGCTTGATAACTCTCCGAATCTCAAGAAAATCGAGGTGGTCGTTATTAGATTCGACGGCGTGATCGACTTCAGCAAGCGGCTCAAGCTTCACAGAGATGGACAGCCAAAGCTGCTGGTCACTGAAGCCCGGCACATAGCTGAATGGGTGTTCTCATTCTTCCGCCCCCTCCTGTGTAGTCCTTCCTTCCGCAATGGGGATCCTCAGCGGTTATCTTCCTTGTTGGCGCTTGACATGCATGCTTATTGGCTCTACGGGCAAAAGGCTGATTTTCATCGATCGAATTGGACAAAAGAGATGGCGGACGAAGCAGACGCCTCATTCTCTGAGCATCTGGAGCTGCTGCTCGAGAGAAGTCGGAAGAAGAATCTCCGTCGTCGCCAAAAGAAGCTTCAACGACTCGGCTGATGTATTGACCCCACGAAAGGTCCATCACTTGAGGTGGTCACAATGTACTCATCAAGATTGAAATAGAGCCGGAGTTTGATTGAAAGAGGTCAGAGACAGGTATGCTGGTAGCCCTGGCACATCGTCGAAAGAGCTAGGCCCTCGGTTGGCTGACCTCGATGAGCATCGGGGCGACCAGCTTTGGTCAGGTGACACTCGGTGAAGCCACAGATAGTTCAGGCCGTCACGAAGAACCAACAGTACCGTGGTTTAACAAGACGGTTTTCTTGGGGCGTTTCATGTGTATTTTGAATAGAACTTTAATCTGCAGTTATCAAGTGTCTCAAACTCTCCGTCTTCTTCGGAATCTACCTACCTTATGACCTTGATGGATTTCACTGGATGTGTTGCTAAAGATGGTCCGACTCATCAAGTCGTCTGAGCCAACCTACTACCTGCCCTCGCTACTCTATAGTCGGAAAGTGGAATGTCAAGGACTGTGTCGTAGCGGGGAACGCCGCCAGAGAGTTTGCCTGCTTGAACAGAACGCGACCTCGAATTTCGTAATATTCCATGCATTTCTATACCTGAGGCTGGTAAAGAGTCAAGGGGTTTCGAAGGCTTCCTATGGTAAGAGCCGAGATCTGTCTCGAATCTTTAGTTCTTGATGCTTTTTGCCAGTGGTAGGATGAGGTAGTCCCATGCGGTTGGACGACCGCGCGGGTGACAACAGCCACACACTCGCAATGGTGCGCGCGCGAAATAGAAAATCTTTTTCTCGCCGTTTGTAGAAGAAAAGCTTTCCCTCTTGAAACACCACGCAGGCATCAAATAATGACTGGAAGACAAATTCTGCAAAGACCGACGCCTACCTGAGCTGGGTAAGTCAGATGAAACGGGAGCCCGACAACATTTGAACGTCCGCTTTACATCCCCTGACCCATTGGTTTCTAGGCAATATCTTCACCCATGAGCTGCAAAACCTCGCGCAAAACGAAGGCTAGACTTCGGGGAGTCAAGAAGCTTCGCAAGGTACGGCCCTCTTCGCACAAAATTCAGAAGCCACAACGGCGAAGTGTGTGGTCCCCAAGTTAATAGTCGTTTAGCAATCCCAGAATACAGCACGTTACTTCAAACCATTTCGGTTTTTGTATGCGTCCTAAAAAGCTTGGTCATCAGACGTCAACGACTGACTTTGCCCTGCAGGGACTTGCCCTCTGAGCTTCGCAACAAGGTCTATGAATTTGCTCTTATCTGCTGCGATGCTATCTCAATCACCAGAATCCTTCACAAGGAAGGATGTACCAGTGGAAGAAAGCTCGCCATCCTTCACCATCGAAACTGTAGACTAGCGAGCCGAGACACGCATCCCGTTGCCGAGCTCTTTCAGACTTGCAAAAAGATTCGTCACGAGACGTCGTTCATGTTGTACAACAGCAACGCCTTTGGATTCGAGGATGTTCCGACACTGATACTATGGCTCGAAACGATTGGACCCGCAAACCGAACCGTCTTGCGGAGTCTTATGATTGAGGGGGACTGCTGCTACGGACAAGCCTCTATAACATCGTGGTTGGATCCGTTGCATATATACGACCCAAGCCCCTCGTTCCTGATGGCTCCCTTCCGCGACCCATACCGAGAATTGACAGCCAGAATCGGCGACCTTCTATCAGAGTCGATGCTTCTCGAAGCTCTGTGCTTGCCGTGCGGCTACAGCTTCTGGAGGCTTCCAGTTCTGACACTTCGGCGGCGCGATCCATATCCAGTGCCCTGGCCAACCCATATTGCGCGCCGCATCGCAGAGACTCTGTTCAAAGATTTTCAAGGCTTTTTCGAGAAGCGCCTTCTATTCGACGCAGACACGGAAAAGCTTTCCAACGTCATCATGGTCAATGTCATCAGCAGAAAAGACCGCAACAAAACGTGGAGTCCAGCGGTAAAGGATGTCTTGACCAAGATAGAGGAAGGGGCAGGACACTTAAACTTGTTACTCAGGCACCTTCAACACATACAAGTCGGAGGCAAGCCATGACAATTCTACCTCCATGAGATTATGTAGCAGGATAGGGTACACACTTGACTATGGAAGGAGTGGACGGTCGAAGGATCTTTCGAAGGTAACGAGATTTCCTTGCTGAATCAAGCCAGATATCTGCAACAGGCGGTAAACTACCGCAAAGGATTCTTCAGCATGGGAGATCGGTTATCTGTGTGTGCGTTATCTGAGGTCTAGACAAGTAGAATTGAAGTCGATCCAAGTTATTCGTGTCAACAAGCGTCTCCTGAATTGTCTCGACAAATCGTTGTTGGAGGAGTCTCTCTGGTCCAGTAGTTGCAATAGTTCATCCCATCAACGCACATCATGAACTCAAAGTTCAGATCGAACTAGTAGTAGTGCGTAAGGCAAATCCGGCGGCTTTCGAGTTCAAGTCTGAAGTTAGCAAACGCTAGCCCCCTCGACTATTGCTTATCTCTTGCTTCTCTGACTCTCGCGGGCCGATGCATCTTGCGGCGCTGGCAAGCATCAATCCGATCGCATTACCTAAGCACCGAATGTGCTGGAGCAATGTTCAAGATTGGGAGAGCCTGTTACTATGCCATCAAGAACTCTCGGCAACCCTTTCCCTGGGACATATTGCGATGCAAATCACTCTGCACTTCCGGCAGGGCCATCTCAATAATGTAAAGAAGCAGCGGTCGGCGAAGAGCGCTAGATAGTAAATCGATAATGTTTGAGTTTCCATGACTCCACGTCGCGATGGTTACGTTTCGGATCTTCGGAGTTCGTACGTCGTTCGTCGAGGCTCTGTCCGGGTCGAAGTCGGGCGCGCTAGCAACTGCCAAGGTCAATTCTCAACTGTTTGTAAACAAGACTTGTAGAAAAGGGCCGCAAGGTCCTTAAAATTCAATCTTTTCGATGGACGAAAGTCAAGCAGAAATGACATTAAGTCCGAATCGTCATAGGTTTGGATGTCAGCTGCAAGATATGCGGTCATGGTTGTTTGGATGGTTTTATCCCGCATCAACGTGTCCATGAGACGTACTTTCAGCTGAAAGACTGGCGAGAAGAGAGATAATGTCAATAAATGTCCTACGTTGCGAGTTGTTGCATTTCGATTAGCTAAGTGTCAGTTGTGAAGGGATGATGGGGAACAACAGCTAAAGATTAGATAGCCAGAACGCCTTGCAGATCTGACACGACTCATTACGACGCTGCGAAACTGTGTCAGGTATAAACAGCAAGAGAGCCTGATTATCAAGATGAAAGAAATCTCAAACCCGAGAAAAACGTGGCCGAGACTAGAGAAACCGAAGGTCCTCCCGGCCTCAGAACGCAATAAGCATTTCGCTAGCGCCCATGCACCTCGCTTTCCCGTCTCCACATCATGGCAAGGCGCATTTCTCAATGGCGCCAGAGGGCAGATTCCCGAAGCGCGTCTCGAAGCCTGAAGGCCCGTAATCCCCGTCAGCGATTCCCACACCCGGGAACCAGAACCTCGTCCGGACTCCAAAGCATGGAAAGGGGGAGGCGGCGGCGGCGGCGGCGGCGGCGCTGAGAGCCCTGTTTATGGGGTTTCGGGGAGTTGCGATGACAAGTGTCAAGCCTCCTTGGCGCGAGCCGCCCAGCCCACTGGTTTGAGGCTTCTATGGAGACGACAGAAGCTTGGAGGGGAGAAGAAAGAGGCGAAGGCCCAAGGTCTCGAAGCAGCAGAGACATGGATAACTTTATTGGGTGGATACGCGTATGCTTAGGCCATAAGGTTGTTGGTGCTCCGATTCTCTAGCGCCAGTTTTCTTCGTGGCTTTGTCAGAGAAGAAGTGGGAAACCGAGACCGAAGTGCCGTTCGCCCTAGGGGGCCGGGGCTGTGCTACTTTTATCTTTTCCCCCAATCCAAGTTCCCCAGCGACAATAGTAAGGTATAGTAGTAAGTAAATACGTGTAATCTGCGGTGTCTGACTGCACAGCAAAGAGTGAAAAAAAGTGTCCGCACCCATGAACCGAGACCGAAGGCATTCTCACACAATGCGCAGCGTGCGGCTGTGTTGAGGTAGGCCCGACACTATGGGAATGCGTATCGAAATTTCTTTCAGGATACGGTCAATACGTGTAAATGCGAGATGCAGCAGAATGCGAGATGTTTGTATATAGATTGACTGTAATCCGGATGTTGTTGCCGTCTTCCTTCCAATACAATACAATACAATACAACCAACACAATCATTATCACCATCACCACCACACAAACAATCTCTCGGTCTTGACTCAGAATACTCCTCGTCAAGGACAGTCCGAACCAGTACCAACTTCAGTCCTCCTCCCAAACAATCACAATGGGCCTCTTCGACTCCAAGCTCAAGTTCCCCATCCATATGGTCCAGCTTGCCCTGGTCATCGCAGCTCTTAGTCTCTCAGTGGCACGCATCTTCCTCCCCAACCGCCCCAGGGGTAGATCCGGTACCATGGCACTCGGCATGGTAAGTCTTAAGCTTCTTTTACCCCACAAACCAAGCAACCAGCTAACCAAACCTTTTCAACCCCAGGCCGCAAAGTCTCTCATTATCATCGCATACCAAGTCCTCACCGAGCACGTCTCCTCCTTCAAGCGATGGGCTAGCCTGAAAGCCAACCTCATCCTCAACGGCATGGAAGTCGTCTTCTGGGCCGCGGTCGCCTACATGGGCATCCAGGGCAACACACAACAATCCTGCGTGGGCGTCAGCTGCACCATCGGCTGGATCGTCGTGGTGATGGGCATCCTCCTCAGCATCGTCGCCGGCTACGCAACCATCATCGCCTGGCTTGACTTCCGCTACTTCAAGGCCAACGGCGTCCGCCGCGGATCCATGAAGCAGACCGCCCTCGGCAGCAGCAGCGACAGCGAGGCCGGCCAGTCCGCCGAGCGCATCGAGATCCAGCAGCAGAGCAAGCCCCAGACGGCCTCCCCTGCTCCTCGTCCAGCCGTCGCCCCCGTGCACTTCAACAACAGCCAGCAGAGCAACCAGTACGACGCGCCTCCTTACGGCCAACACTATGCTCAGCAGTACCAGCAGCAGTACCAGCAACAATACCAGCAGCAGCACCCTCAACAATACCAGCAGAGCCAGCAATACCACAACCAGTACCACAACCAGTACCAGTACCAGCAGAGGCAATGAGGCGGAAGAGAGGTGGACTTTTGAATTGAAGAGGACTTTCTGAGCGATTCAGCATATCCAGCGGGGCGAATTGGCATGGGAATACAGGTTTCGTTTGTTTTTTGGTTCTTTACAAGCGAGTATGAAGCAAAGAGACCGGGTCGGTCTGCACAGCCAAGGGATAATGGCGTTCAAGTTAGATGGGGACCATGGGACTTTAGACCAGAACATCTGGCTTCTTCTTTGTAAAAGCCCTCGGGGCATAGAGACCGCCTCTGCAAAAGCATGATGGCGAAAGAATCGATTTGAGTTTGAAAGCATTCTTTGACAACCACAAACCGTGACTTAATAACGAAACAATAGCGACAACAGTGATGTATTTACTCACGGGGAACAACACTAAGGTGCTTTGAAATAACGTGACAAAGAAATGGGTCAGTCATTACAAGGTAAACTGCTGCTGCAGAACAGAAGACGGAGGAGAAAGGGAAATCCAATTCCAGAATCGTTCTTTCCATTGTAGCAAATTACAGTCATTACTTTGAATGCTTGGCTCTAGAGCCGTCTGGACGTCCGAACAAGAAGTTAGAGATCTTGTCTCCAAAAGGAACCACCGACGAGGGTACCTCTTGGCTCTGCTGTCTCCTCAAAGGCCTACGGCTGTATGAACGAGGAGCCCACGATTGGTCATCTAAATCTCCATAACCCGACGACTTGCGCCTGTACGACGGATGGTCCCGAATCACCTTCCTGAGCTCCGCCCTGGTCAAGTTCGGCCCCTCCAGCACTTGGCGCCACAGCTTGGCATCGGACCTGCCGCCAGGGCGACTCCTACCTCTCGTAATGATCTCTCGCAGGGGTAGAGATCGTAGCTCGGCCGGTATCATGTTACTCACCTGGCTCACGTCTACCTCAGACCCCTCAGGTCGATATCCAGCATCGTAGAAGAGTCCAGCTAGTTCGGGATACGCATCCGTAAAGTCATACCAGAAGATAGGGTTGCTGATGGCGGGTGCATCATGCGCATTGAGCATTTGCTCTGGACTTCCGTCTTCGATGATACTTTGCAAGAGCCAAACCAGGTCTACTGCAAGCTCATCCAGGAATCCTTCTTCCTCTATATGCCTGTCAACAACGTATGAAAGCGCAATCTCGTTAACAAGAGCCGGCATGGTCAAGACGGTCGTGGGAGAGGAGTCATCCCCAAAGCAGAGACTTACAGTCGGCAACGTCTCAAAGCTACGCTCAAACGCCATGGTCCTCATTTTAACGGGCCACACCTGCCCTTCTTCGTCGGAGACGCCAAGAGTATCTGGTTCGCCGGGGTAGTTGAGCATGCCGCTGGTAGCAGCCGCCCACGCTTTCATGACCTCTTGGGCGTAGGCCGGGCAGATGATTGTAACGTGGGACGGGGAGCGAGAGCCATGGCCGTATGCTATCAGCGCTGCGTCGCCGCAAACAGCATACTGTACATGTGAGAAGGTGCTCCCAAGACGGTGGAGAACTTGGTAAGTTGATGCAGGGCTTATGTCGGGTCTTGGAAGCGAGCAGCTGGGCGCATGCAGATACGACTCTGCCGGAGACTCTGGGGCTGCGTTGGCCCCAGAGCCATGCGGTTTACTTGTTGTGTTATATCGCAGTGATTGACTCTCACTTTGTCCAGACGTTTGCGAGGGAGACGAGGCCATGCTCCTAGCAAGACCGCGACAGCGGCTTGATAGACGTTTCAAGAATTCGACGACGGGGAACCGACTTTGATGCTGACGGGATGCCGTATCTGTCAAACCTGGTGGACTTTCAAGGGGAAAGTCGAAAAGACCTGTCGTAGAAGCTGTCCGCTGTGTGCGTTTTCTTGAGAAGTGGAGGCGGGTCGACACGGGAAATCGGAAAGTATACCTCAAATGAGAACTCTTGTCAGTTTGCCGAGACTTCATGCCGTGAAGATACAGTACAGGGAGGCAAGGAAATGATGTTGTCAAGTGGTAGGAAACGGGTAAGCTGGATAATAGGTCCTCTTGATTTGCCTCTAGCTGGAGCTTAGGAAGAGATGAAGCTAAGCTCTTATGTAGATGTACGGGAATGGCCCCGAAGTGTCAAACCCCTGCGAACAAGTTGTTGTTTAGTAGGCGACAATGGGATTGAGCCTCGGATCTGTGTTTCTCGGATGTTCTGGGACTGTAAGAGAACAACGTGACTTCGCATGCGCTTCGCCTTTGAGCACACCGGGATGCTTTGAGCCTCATGGGTCTAGAAGCAACAAAGGGATCATTCTTCCATTGCATGGTGTGACTAAAACAGATACATTTCCAGTGGCGCCTAGCGCAGGGCTTTTGGGGGTTCGACACTAGGAAGATCGTACGGTCAATACCTCATTCATGTCATGGGCCGAAACATTGAGTTCATAGTCGTCTTATGCCTGGCGGGCCCTCTAGATGTTGGGTTCCCGTCCACCTAAACGCCTAATCGTACAGTGCTGGCAAAGTCCTTGTATCCCGCCCTAGACCGTCCCTAAATCATGGCCCTTAACCCCCTCACAGCTCCTCCTCCACATCCATCGAGTCACCGTTCGATTGATCCTTGCCACCCGCTGGTCCGTCCTTCTTAGGCATCGTCGCTTCCTTGTCGATCATCTGTCTCGAGACGGACACAATGTTGTCCTCGATCAGCTGCTGGCCGACGTCCTCCAAATGCTTCTTGGGGTCGAGCTTGCCGACATAGCGGGTCTTGAGCTGGTCCTTTGTCAATTCGGTTTCTTCCTTGACGCGCTTCTCATAGCCTTCCGCAAGGCTGACAAGGCGCTCCAAGCGCTCCTTGTTGCAGTCGCCCTCGTGTCTGAAGTCGTTCATCTCCAATGCCTCGGTCCAAACGTGCTTGTGCAGGTTCATGAGCATGTTCTCCTCGAGCGCCGTCTTTCGGTAGTTGATGCCGATGGAGTAGTAGTGTCTGTTCAGGCCGTGGATGAGGGCCTGGATTGAGGGTTTGTTAAGGTGGCCCAAGTTACTCGTGCTTTGCCGGGGCTCTTGACCAAGCATGAGGGACTGAGGGTTGATCAGGCGGAAGGCGTCAATGACAACCTTGCCCTTGACGGACTGAATGGGGTCGACGACGACGGCGACAGCACGCGGGGTAAGCTGCTCGAAGGACTGCTGGGTGTTGATATCGACGGATGAAAGCCAGCATCCGAAACCAGGATGGGAATGGTACCATCCAACGACGGCCTCAGGTCTGTTTGCAACATGTTTGTCAGTATATGCGACTGCGATATGGCCAGGGTAGGGATGGCGGGGTCCGAACTCACCTTCCGGTTTGTCTCAACATGTCCATCATCTTCATCTGGAAAACAGGGTCGACCGCCTCTACACTAACGCCGGTACCGCTTTGGGGCATGGCGAAAACATCCACCACGCGTACCGTGAAGTCGTCGACGAACTCTCCCAGCATCAGACCCATCACTTCCATGGGAACACCAGCGCGGCCGTGTCGCAGCATTTTGAGGAGGGCAAGGGAGGAGATGTAGACGGTCTCGGAGTTGTCGATAAGCTGTGTGTTATCCTGCAAAACCGCGTAAGTATGTCTTTGTAAGGGCCTGGACAATCGGAGCTGTCAAGGCAGCTCGACAAGGCGCGGGATGCTCTTACCGTTCCAGGTTGGCTGCCCAGGCCACCGAGGCCCTGGGACTGGAGCATGTTCCTGAAGCGCTCCATTGTGATGCTGTAAACGTTACTGAAGATGTGAGGATGAAGTGTTGAGCTGGCGTCGTCGAAATGCTGTCGCGGGCGGCGGTTTTCGTGGCGATTTGGAGGGGCGTAGGTTGGGGTGATGGAGGCGGATGGAAGCAGCTGGGTCGTGGAGTTGAGTGGTGTTGACGACAGCTCTGAGCAGCCTGGCGAAAATGGTCCCGGCGGCGGAGCTAGCCTGGTCCGGTACGTACTGCCCGTGCCTGGCTGACAAACAGTCACGTGCTTGACTTTTGGAGCTGTATCAGTGCGGGAAGGAGCTCACCGCAAAAGATAGGGATATTCAGCTTAGTTTAATTCTGTCTCTTATTGTATCATATTCAAAACCCGAGGTCATATTGGTCAACAGCAACCCGAATTTTCCTTTCCAGCTTTGAAGCCTGAAAATCTGTTGTTGGACGACAGTTTGAGATGTTGAGGTGTGAGTGGTCAAGCCACATATGGTGCCGCATTCGGCTAGACTGGCATGCCGAAGCTCACCAGCCGCACTGCCGAGTCATCCCCTCCACTGCGTTCAGCTGAGGATGAATCCATCATCTACCTTACCCTTCACCAGCCTCCTCATTCGGCCGACTTCTCTTGCTGAAGACTTGGTGTTTGGTAAGTATCGCACTAGAAACGATTAGAATGATTCTCGGAATTCATCGCTATTCTTGAACGATGGCAATCCTTGGAACTGCTACTCGCGCAAATGACGAGTCGACGTCACCCACCCCCCCCCCCCCCGGGCAAAGATGGTTACGCCCCATAGCATCCACTCAACTAAACACCTTGTTGCTACTCTATTTCAAGTCAAAGATGCATATATGCCGCCTTTACTAAGACCATCATCAATTACAGTCACGTTATCCTCCGCGCTGAGTGAAAGACAACATTTGCGATATGTCAACGCCTACTGCCAACTGCACGGGCTCCTGACTCAATCTGGTAGCGGCTCAGCGATTGTTATGATTCAATGCCCGGCTTGAGGAGGATATCCATGTTAGCCTCCAGTTCACCATCTTCCCACAACACAGCGCGACATCGGCTTTGAATCCTAGATGGTCTTAAGGGACGAGAATGCCCGGATACCGAGCAACCCATCCATGCCGATTGTGAGTTCCGTGATTTCAAACAAACAGCCAGTCCGTCTGAAGAAAACAACAGACGATGCTAAACGTATCCGGAAAGACTGTCTAGATCGACATGGTGGGGGAAGCTCAAAGCCTCGAGGGCTGCAGGGAACGAAACGTCTGGAAAAGTGTGCCCTCACTGGAGGCAAAATGATAGGCGCCACGGTCCCGAACATCGAGCCGCGGCGGTCGGATCTCCTGCGCCCGAATCTGCAGAGAAGAACAAACGGGATAGGTGGGAAAGGATGGTGATCCTCATCGCCGAGCCAAGAAGATATCGCTCTAAGCACCACGCAGCGATGTCACCTTGGAGATGCCAACTCAAACTTTGAGGAAAGACACGCCTTGTGATTCGTGTCCTCGCTTCCTATTGAAGACATCCTATGGTCCTACGACCAGAGCATTTCACGACGTCACTGCGCTTCGGGAACGCAGCGCAGCATCGCGAGATTTACGCTTTACAAATTACGATGGCCGCAGAATAGGGCGAGTCATGGCGAACTCAAAGCTTACGCCCATTCCAGGTGTACTCGTCGCTCCGTGATCCTGGTACACGCGACAAATCTGCTCCTAGCTCCAACTCAATCATGGGCGCTCCTCGTGCGATGTACGATTGAGATTGGTGTGCCCTGGTCCCGGGATTGTCAACACTTGACCTTGCCTTGCTCCTACGTTCCCATGCCATTCCCACCTATAGTCTAATTTGCTACAACACCAAATCCCAACGTGAATGGTGCCTCGCGATCTCGAGCAGCGACTCCACGCACCAGTAGATCATGATCTAAGATCTGTTTCTCGCGGTTTTCAATGTCGAACTTCACAGGGAGCACGTAGCAACCTTCGAGCACCGGCCGACAATATCTCTCCCAGTATAGCTCCTTGGTCACCACATCGCCCGTCCGAGCTCTTTTGGGGGAGAGGCGAGATTGAGATACAGGACGATGGACTCGATAACCGTAGACGATGAACAGGCAGCGACCCTAGATATCCCCCCGGTGGATCCGACCGAAACGCGACAACCTCTCGTAATCGGCGTGACAGTCACGGCGCTCTTTCTCTCGACTCTTGTCACGGCCCTCAGGGTCTACGTCCGCGCCTGCCTGCTGAGGAAATGGGGCTGGGATGATTCGGCGTTGGTAGCATCTTCTGTGCGTTTGCAACCCTGGACTGGCCCCAAGGTCGACCACTGAGTGCTGACTACTCGAAAACAAGATTCTCGTCTTCATTGTTGGACTTTTGATGCTCATAAGTAGGTTGCCTCGATAAGGTATGAGGTGAAAGGTATCTTGCTGATTAGTTGGGCGACACAGATACCCACTTTGGCGATGGTTTACATCAGGCTACGTTACCCAGGGACAAATTTCTCAAATCTCAAGAGGTAGTCCCAGCACAGTTGAAAGCAATGACAAGATTGAAAAAACTCACACGATGTACAGATTGCAATCACGGCTGTCGCCATCTACCAAGTCGTGCGTTTCTCGAGATCAATCCTATGATGGCAGCACAAGCTGACTACCTAAACAGGCCTATCCATTGATCAAATCAACCTTTCTTCTTCAGTACCGGCGCGTCTTTCCATTACCGGCCTTTCAAAAGTTATGTAATATCTTCTTGATCTTCATTATCGCCTTTGGGGTATCGCAGGTGATTTCAATCTGCCTGGCCTGTATCCCACTCAAGAGCCTCTGGGACCACACAGTACCCGGCCGATGCATAAGACTTCTCGACTGGTGGATCATCGGGTCATCGATCAACCTCTTCACCGACATCGTCATCTTCCTCATGCCAGTGCCGCTGCTTCGGACAATCCGCCTACCGATGAGGCAGAAGATAGTACTA